CCATCATGGCAGTGGACCCCTTGTGAGGGCGGTTCGGCCGAACGGCCGAAAGCACGACTTAGAGCGCTCTTGCGCCATCGAGCCCCCATCGCCTTTTCGTTTTTCTGTCTATTACTCCCCCTAATATTAGCAGCTTGGCCTTTTATTGGAAAAAAGAAAAAGAAAAAGAAAAAAGATTTTCTTTGTTTTCTTTGGGAAGAGAAGAACTGTGGGAGGCAGTGGCGACTTTTTCATTTTCTTTTCCTTCCTGTTTTTTTTTTTTTTTTTTTTTTTTTTTATACATCGACCACCGAGATCTACACTCTTTCCCTACACGACGCTCTTCCGATCTTGCTTGCTTATCAACAGAAGGAGTCTACTGCTCGCGTTGCGTCTATTTTGAACATCATCATATATTGCATATAAAAATGATGAGGCCGGGGTCCTCACAGTCTACCCGGAAAGAAGGTCCTCACATATATTGCATATAAAAATGATGACCATCATTTTCGCTTTGTCAAACCTTCTGACTATCTAGAGTAACTGCTGGGACCACGTGCCCTGCTTAGCCCCTCTCAGCCTAGAAGGCTGTCTGAAACTGAACCTGAAGTAGCGAGGGCTGATGAGCCATGATCCCACAATACCTCCGAATATCCTAGTCTGTCTGCATCATCGAAATGGACCCAAGCGGAAGTACTCGACCATTTGGAAAGAAAGGAAACTCTGGCGTCTACTATGGAGTCTGACTTTTTCCTCTGCTTAACCCAATCTACCATGATGTCTGTTCTAATAGCCCGTTTAAACATTGAAAATAGAGCCCGAGGGCAGGATTTCTTTTGCAGGAAGATCCTGTCTCGTCGAGCCATCCAAATCAGCCAGAAGGCTCTAACTCTAAATAACTGAGCTATCCTGTTAGACTGCTTATCCAAGGAGGAGTCTTAAATCCTGCTTGTAAAGATGAAATCTTTCTGCCACGTGGAGGATTCGTCGTGTGAATGTGTCCACATATCCTGCATATTATGCGCCTGTGTCCACATATCCTGCATACTATCCCAAAATCCCCTTGCGATGATGCATTCCCACCACAGGTGAAGCGAGTCCTCTAGTGAGGCTTGTGGACATGCTGTGCATTTCGTGTCTGTATCCATACTTTTTTCTGAACACCACAAGGTGGTTGGGGTGCATGAATGGAGGTGAAGCCATTGTAAGCCCCCCGCCTTGGTCTCCAAGCGCACTGAGTATGAGGTGTATGAAGAAAGACACCCACTTAGCATTGATGTGTTGGAGCCCCAGCGCGCTGCACCTGCTGTGCCATGAGCAAGAGAGGGCTGTCTGCATTGCCTGTCCTTGTGATTGAAGCTTGTAGTCGATCTTCGATGTGTATTCCGATATTTCCTTCCTGTTCCGTTCCCGATGTCCGCCCCATTCCTCCCCCCCCAAAAAAAGATGTCCCCAAGGACGGGACTTTCCTTTGTATTTTTCCCGTGGGACTTGACTCAGCACATACTCACATTATCACTTCTTGAATGTATCCGATGACAGTTAGGGCTGGGCTTGGATGAATGTGACCGCAATCACGTCCCGAGCTTAGTAGAAAAAGTGCTAGCGTATGCACTGAGCTCTAGGGGCATACTCTGGACGTAATTGGGGGTGGGATCATGTCCAGCTCTCTCTCTCTCTCTCTCTCTCTCTCTCTCTCTCTCTCTCTCTCTCTCTCTCTCTCTCTCTCTCTCTCTCTCTNGCAAACTAAATGTTTTGGGACGCTGGACCCTCTTTCCAGCAGGTGCTGCTCCCCACCAATAGATGGAGCCCCCTGGGAAATGCTAGTGGTGTCTGTTGTTACCAGCACCCCTAGCATCCTCTCAGGTTGTTAGACACATCTAGATGTGTATAAGAGACATCTCTCTCTCTCTCTCTCTCTCTCTCTCTCTCTCTCTCTCTCTCTCTCTCTCTCTCTCTCTCTCTCTTTTTGTTTGTTTGTTTCTTTAAATTTGGCCATCTCGATACATGCGGGCGCCGCTCCCCCTACACAACACCCTACATGCACATGGACGCTTTCTGGACCAGGTGCATTCGAACTACAACATTTCCAATGCATGGAACCGTCCAAATGCATGTAGAGTGTTGGGTAGTCGAGCGAGACCGGATCGTGTCTGTGTCGTCCCTCGGGACATCCGAAAAAATTGGAACGATACGGAGATGATTACCACGGCCTGCGCAATGGGGACATCGTTTTTTTTTTTTCTCTCTCTTTTTTCTTTCCTCTTAACATCGGTTAAAATTGGGACGATACAGAAAAGATTACCCTGGCCTCAGCGCAAAGATGACACGCATAAATCGAGAAATGGTCCAAATCGAGAAAAAAATTGCAAAACCGCAAGAAACCACCGTTTTCGTTCTTTCACTCAATAGAACCGCAAGAAACCACCGTTGTCATAAGGATTCTTATCAGTCCGCTTGTTACACCGGGTGGTTTATCGTCATACTTTAGGAAACAGAAAAGCCAAAAAAAAACACAAAAAAAGGATATCGAATACCCTTTTCCTCCCTTGTCCTTCCTCCCCTTCCGAGAGGGCAAAAATCGAGGTGTGACACGCATAAATCGAGATATGGTCCAAATAAACAAATTAATTATATTAAAAAAAAAATCGCGCATCTCCTCCCATTCCCAGAGGTCAAAAATGGTGTAGCTAAGATAAGAATTACCGTCCATCCCTTAAGCTGGTAGTGAAAAACCGAGTGATGTCAACAGAAAACACAGAGCAGTCACCTTGGCGGTCCACAGGGACCTAACACTCATCGAGTAGACCAAGCACAACATGCAAACGAAGAAAAGCACACTCCGACATATCGAAGTCTTCCGAACGTGACAGGGCGTAAGATAAAACATGAAACACAACCAAAGGAACCTGGACGCAATTGAGCATAAAGCTCTGGCCGGCGGTCAAGCGCATCATGATTCACACTGATTATCATTGATATCCCCGGGACCGTCTTCCAAAGAAGCACCGGCAAACCAAGAAGCATAAGGAAGATTGGGGCCTGCGCTCTTCCCGCCAATGAAGGACGTGGGCATTACAACGGTACTAACTCACCAGTTCCTCCTACGACTATGTCCAAGCACCATATCCATGCTCTCTAGTCGAGGAAAGAAAGTAATATGCTTTACATCAGACCGCGTTTGTCATGTCACCGCATCATCCGACCAACTTGTCAACACCTTCTTCGAAACTACTTCACCAACACGACCATCCTCTCTCTCTCTCTCTCTCTCTCTCTCTCTCTCTCTCTCTCTCTCTCTCTCGCTGTGTGGGTGAGTGTAGATGCGTGCGCTCGGACAACCGACGTCTCTCTCTTCCTGCTCTGCTGCCTCCTCTGTGACTGAGTACGTAATAACCCGTCCTTGCCGTTTATGTTGTGCATAAAACACAGCGGGAAATGTCATGGTTCTACACTCTCCTCTCCTCTCCTCTCTATCGTTCTAATTTTAATGGATATCTCGAAGGACCTTCTCTTTCTTTCTTTGTTCCTTTTTTTCCCAAAAGACCTTTTTTTTTTTTTCTTCTTTTTTTTCTTTTTTTTGTGTGTGTGTGTGTGTTCCCCCCTTGGCAATGCAGCTGTTCAAAGAACGTTCAATAAATTCAAAGCAACACAGAGAGAGAGAGAGCACCGGAATCCAGTGCTTCACATTCTACAGGTATACGCACTTCAATGGTGACCTGATACATTCACATTGATCCGAAATTTGAATGTATTTGGACCATTATAAGTTCCAGGTCCATGTAGAATGTTGGGCCACTACCGCGGTCGAGACAGAGAGAAACAGAGAGAGAGAGAGAGAGAGAGAGAGAGAGATCAGGTGTGGTGCATTTTGCATGATGCTGGATTGATCCCTTGTTATCTGAGGGAGAATACTGGGACTTCATGGATAACTTTGTACTGAATCAACGCGGTAAAGGCGCCCAGGTACGTCCGATATTTAATGATCTACTGGTCGTCGAGAGAGAGGTGAGGTGTTCTCTATTTTGCATGTCAATGGAAGGGACGGCTCGCACTCCAGGTTTTTTTTTGTGGATGAATAGAAGCGGTGACTGCGCTCAGGTACATCCAAATACGATGGTTTGTTATAATGACGGCTACCTTCTTCCCCCGAATACAACGTACGGTCATTATAGCTGTATTTGAGGCATCTTTCAGTCTAGATACAGCTATAATGACCGTACGTTGTATTCGGGGGAAGAAGTTAGGTGCATTACACAAATACATCATAGTATACATCCAGGAATCACAGCTCTGAGAGTGTATGGTTGAAATGTGCCCATCAAGAGAGGTGCGCTCCAGATTTTTGACTGCACCTTGGCGGTATTGGCGGTCAGGTGGATTACAGAGAGGAGCCCTCCGGGTTGCCTGCGTGATGTTTGATCGCTTTCTCTCTGCGCGCGTGATTAAATGATTTTTTTCTCTTTTTTGTGTTTTCTGGGAGGCACGGATCATCACACGCAAAAACAAACAAAAAAAAAAACCTTCTCCATCACCTTCCATTTTAACGGTCCGGGATCGTTACCGACGCGTTTTCCCGCCACTCGCCAAATGTGCAACATGATAGTGAATCTTCGGGTAGAACATATTTTTTGTCTATTGTGCATGTAGTGGTCAGTGGAGCGAGGCCCATGGAAAGGAGTGGGGAAAAAACAAATGCGTGTACGACAATGCCTCCTTCCAGAGACGACACAGATGACGACGAGAGGGAAACGTGTCTCCAAGTGCTCTCACAATCGTACGACATGTTTGCAAGATAACAGCGCCTATCGACGGACATGGAATGTTCTGATTCCTGGTGTCCTCCGCAGCCTCGTTCCCCGGCACACTATGAACAATTCGTTAGAAATCCGCTCTGCACGCGTCGGGGACTGTAAATCAGGGCAAACCGGCAAACCAATGGACCTGAACCGAAGTTGAACTCCGCTTCGGAGCGGAGTGGACCGGCCGTGCCCCCGGGGGATGAAAAGAAGAGTACTCACCAGTCGTAACTCGCTTGGTGATGTTGGGATTGCCAGCCCCCAGATACGACGTCATCGCCACATCACTCAAACACGTCGCCATCTGAGCCCCCCTCTCTCTCTCTCTCTCTCTCTCTCTCTCTCTCTCTCTCTCTCTCTCTCTCCCCCCCCCTCTCTCTCTCTCTCTCTCTCTCTCTCTCTCTCTCTCTCTCTCTCTCCCCACCCCCCACCCCTATGGAGGACGAAACGAAAACCTTGCTCGCCCAGTCCACAGACGTTCGTGTCCGAAGAAAACGACAAGGAAAACCTGACTCAAAACTCGTCGAATCGAGGTGGTCGAAGGGGGGGCCGTGCGTTGCGGCGCCGCTGTAGGGCTCAAGGCGTCACGCTTGCAAGATTAGGGTTTTGATAGCGATGTCCTGCCCGCAGGACCTGTAGCGCTCAGCGCAGGTAGGGCGGTCGTCCCACATGGCGACATACCGTAAGGCTACGGATAGTTCGCAGCTCGGGGTACGTTATCCCCCTGACGTTGTACTCGAATACAATGTGTTCACAGCCCATCAGGGGTGCGTTTTATCCCCCTGAGACATTCAACGTCATTGAAATTAGGTGGTCATTGGGGAGGATGGGCATTTTGAGGTTTTGGGGCCTTGCAGGGGCCGGGACCTCGTAGGACCGGTAGCTGCCCGTAGGAGGCCGAGGAGGCCGCCGTCCTTGAGTTTTGAACATTTTGAAATCAACGGCCTAGGACGCCGCGGTCCTTAAGTTTTGAACATTTGAGTTTTGAACATTTTGAAATCAACGGCCTAGGACACCGCCGTCCTTGAGTTTTGAACATTTTGAAATCAACGGCCGAGGAGGCCGCAGTCCTTGAGTTTTGAACATTTCGAAATAGAAACGGCTTGGGTCCACTTTTCTCTAATAGCAGAGCACATAGAATAGAACACATACATGTATCCAAATATGACATGTACATTTTCTATTCTAATTTGGAAACGAAAAAACTCTTGTATTCCAATAACATTGACACTGGGCGACTCTGGGTCTGAGTCGTGGTCTGAATACACAGAGCTCCAAAAGGGAAGGGAAGAGTAACATAGACAGCCCCAAGGGAGAATGGAACCCTGATCTGTGAAAGCATGCAGGCCATAACCAAAACAAGAACTGCAAAACCGATAATGAACGATACAGAACAGGATTAAGCTAGAAGTAGGCTGTTAGGTAGGCAAGCAGCTCCCTTTGCTGCATAGTGCTGCCTGCCAAAATTCCACGCTTGCAAAGAAGGTCGCCTTCTGGCTGTCATTACAACTGCATATTTGTTTGAAGAAGCAAACTAAATGTTTTGGGACGCTGGACCCTCTTTCCAGCAGGTGCTGCTCCCCACCAATAGATGGAGCCCCCTGGGAAATGCTAGTGGTGTCTGTTGTTACCAGCACCCCTAGCATCCTCTCAGGTTGTTTGGTTAAAATTAAACCACTAGTMCCCCCGCCAATGTTGGGAAATTACAATGTTTTGCCAGTTCCGAAGTTATCGGGGGTGGGACACAGGGTCAACATTGTTCCATAAATCAGATTTTTTTTTATTTTTTTTTTACTGAAATCAATCTTTATTGTGAACAACTTCACTGGGAGGCCGGGGAACTCACAATTCAACCCGGTAGAACCAGTTCCTGACAGCATTAGTCAGCTTAGCTTCCAAGCTTCAGAGAAGGGTTATCAACTAGGCTCAGCTCCGACCCAAACGGCCTTTGTCCTTCTGCCTCTCTCTGAGCAAAATAAACAACGCCTCCAAGGCCTACAAAGCCTAACAAATCCAAATCCAATGGACCGAATGCTTCTCTTCTCATTCCTATCTCTAAATTCTCCTACTTACTCTTGTTCGACCACCTAACTCGGTGGTTGGACCGACTGGTCCCTCCATTCTATGACCCTACCTCTTCCCTTGTTCCCTCCGCCCGTCTCCTGCGACCCCTCCAAGTCCCGCCAACCAAGTATCCAGGTTTCGTCTTCTACTCTATCTACTGTAGAACCAGTCGTCCAGTCTAGGTTGTACTTCTTCCAACTTCGTCATCTTTCCATTCTTGGCCCATGTTTCTGCGAACAACGCAGACCCACCTCCTTGTCTTCCCCACCTTTCTCCTCCAATCTGCCAGAATTGATCTTCTCAGCATTTGGGTAAAGGTCTTCCTCATCTGTTGATTTGTCAATTCTTTATTCATGAAGAACCGGTCGTTTCTTTCCTGCCATATCACTGTACAGGCAACCGCTCTGGCCGTCTGAGCAACATATCCCCAACTTGACCCGACACTATGCCCTTCCTGAATGCCTCCCAATAGCACCCAGTTTTTCGTCTACTGAAATGTTCCTTCCATACAGTGATCCCAAAATTTTACCCACCACTTCCAAATTCTGCTTGAGGTTAGGCAGTCCCACCACAGGTGCACAGTGGACTCGAATGCCCATTCACATCTTATGCATTTCATTTCCACCTTCACTCCATGCTCTGTCAACCATACCGTTGATGGTGTTGCCACCATGGATAGTAACCACAAGATCAAGGTCTGCCTTTGACACGGAATCAACTTCAGTTGTTGCCAGCAGTTTCGAAGTGTTGCTTCAACTTGTGCTGGTTCCATGTCCAGCAATTGTAGCTATCTTGTGCGAGTCACCACCTCTGGGTGTTTTAATGGAATCACCATACAATACCCGATCTTCTGTGTGTAATCCATTAGGCATATATTCTCCTCTTTTTTCCCTTGTGCTCTCCACTCCCACATCCTTGGGTCCGTTCTAAGTGCTGTTATTGGTTTGCCCTTCGCCAACAGTACCTTGGACCCTCCTTTTCCATTAATTACTCGAACTTGAGAAAGTGGCATGCCTAGTCTTGGTGTGCCCTCCGTCTTATCTCCAACCTGTTGTCCTCCTATGTTTGTCTCCCACCCTTGAAAGATACGTTTCCCATCCGGCTGTACTTCCAGTAATTCCCACAATTTCGTTTCTTCTGAGCCCTCCTGGATGTACCATGTTCCAGGCGGATCCACCGCTTCGGGGTAGAGCATATCCTTCTATTCTTTCGGGAAGACCCCTATGATCTTAGTAAGTTTCTCCTCTATGTGTCTCGTCTGCCCCAGTTTGTCCCTCGCTTTGCCTTCTGTTACCCAATTCTCTGCGAACCCATCCCATAGATCTCTTATTCTTAATATTCCTCTCTCTATCCATGTTCTACCAAAATTGTGGTCTTGTGAACCGCCCCAAACCATTGATCATTCTCTGCCCTTATTATCGGATTCTAAAAAATTGGTTGGGTCAGAACTTCAACTTTTGTTATTGGCTCGACCCACACATCCGGTCTCAACTTTTTCCATGCCTACACTATGGCTGCCCAGATTGGTGACTTTATCCTTCTCCTCTGATAAGATGGTAGGAAGATACACAACCAAACGTCCTCCTTTCTTGACAGGTTTCATTCCTCGACCAACAATGTTTCTGCCAAGAATACCCAGTGTGGCACTGGGTCTTCCAGGCATGCCCGAACCACCCACTTTACCAGCATTGCTTCGTTCTGTTTGCTTGGATCTACTATACCTAGTCCCCCTTCCTCTCGAGGCAGACAGAGCATCTCTCATGCCACTTTCGTAATGAAAGCATCATTGTCCTTCGCAAATGGTTTCCAAATTAATCTTGCCGCTTTCCTCCTAATCAGTCTGTACGTAGCGTCTCCCACCTTTCTTATAGCTCCCACGAACCATAGTAGCGCAAACAGAGCTCCATTCAATACCAATGCTCGACGGAAGATAGAGAGGTGTGGCGCTTGTCCCCACATTACTAGTCTATGCAACGACTTTCAAAGGAGCACGTTGCGTGGATGAACAGTCCATCAACGATATTTGGACTCCCAAAAAGCGTTCTGAGTTGTCTTGTCCTACCCTTCTCATCCCCCACTCCATATCTAATTTGAAGGCTGCTGGTAACAAAAATACGGACTTGTGTCAGTTTATGGCCGCTTCTTACCACGCGCCCGGGGATTCCAAAATGCTAGACAAGTTTACCGCAGGAGGACTTCGTAGTCCTGCTGAGTACATAGTGTGTTCCCTTATTACAAGGCAGAAATTTCGAGGTAGAGTTCCGGCCTTCCTTATCTAGTAGGGCGATTTGCACCTCGGCCCGGATTGACGTAACATGGAATTTCGAACTTCGTATGTCACTTGACGGATTGCTGGCCCCTCGCACCGTATTCGCTTTTCTCCCTCCAAGGAGTGAATTTTACCGTGGTAATTACTCTGGTGCTGCCGAGGCTGTGGGAGATCGATCTACCGGGGAGGGGACTCGGGGGTTAGAGACCTCTAGCCTGCTGCTGCTACCGAGGATTGGATTGCTTCCATACTGAGAGTATCAGGAAGAGGCAACCTCCACTAGATCCAGCATTATGTGTCCATCTTGTAGTGAATCTTGCATTAAACATCTGTATTACCTCTCCTCACCCTATTGCGTCTGGGTTCTTGAACCGCTATGGTAGTTTCAGGTCTCTGTCTTCACATTAGCCACACCTTCCGCCGTGCACTACCGGGTGAGAGCCTTCTCCCCCCTGATCTCATGCACTTTCTTGCTTGCTGTATGTTCAAATCCATCTCCGCTTTTCTATCTTTTCCCTTCGTGACATACACTCCCTTACCTGCTGTTATCGTGAGTGTTTCTTGCCACTACCTTTCGTACATTGTGCGTTACTGCTTCCACCCCACTAGCTGTTGTTCATCTAGCCCCTAGTTACTATGGTAAAACTTTCAGCCACACCGCAGTTACAGCGTCCGACGGCTATGGCGAGACAGATTCTACCCTAACTGGCGTCCTGGACTGTTCGAGCGAGCACTGTTGAGGACCAGCCTTCTCCTTTGTTGTGAGGAGTGCGGTGCCTCGGTTCGTTCCCCATCCCGACGGCGGGGGTGATGGACGAACAGCCCCTTCCGCCGAAGTGGGAGGTGACGACGGTAACCGGAGCGCTCTGCTACCCGCCTGGTACCAGCGCTCCCGCCTGGCGAGTCCCTTTCCCTTTTGTGGGCAAGGGATTTTGTGGCCACCTCTGGAGGTGACCGCAATTTTTTTTTTTTTTTTCATTTTTAAAAAAATTGACAAAAATTCGTTCACAAAAGTTCTTGCACAATTGGTGGATGGCGCCGTGTGACCAGCCAAGTACCAAATCCCCATTTCTCCAGAGAGCCGCGACCTTGTCCCATCTGAAAAGGTACAACAGTGTGATGTAAACCATGCCCAAAACCTCAAATCGACCCTTCCCAAATCCGCATATTTTGCGGATTTAGGGTCGCCGTGTGAGTATGCCCTTAGACTTCACGGCGACCGGAGCCTTCCTTTCTTATGAATTTTGAGAGTCCAAAAAGACCCCGACAGAGCTTCATTGGAGTCCACGACGTTACCGGAAGCGGAAATTTTCACTGTAACCGCGCAGGGCACGGGGGCGCAACTTAAC